CAGCAGGTCCTTCAGGCACATTTTATTCATTTGGAATCTATTTAAGCTCATTTTTTAAAATGCAGATCCATCATTCCACATCTAAATATATCCAGTTGGAATACTTCAATTCTAAACAAAATATATAGATATGAACCAAGGATTTTGTACAGGGAGACTCAGTTACAACTACAAATGACTTCTCCTCACACCCGAACTCCCTTTGTTAGAAGACAGTAGAGAGATGGGAGAATTGGTGAATTTGACTGCAAGCAGATATATTTAGGTTACAGTGGAATCCAAACTATTGGATTCTTAGAATCTATCAGTTGGCCTTAATAATCTCAAATTTGAAGTCAACTCCTCTTTTAATCTATGCTGCATTTTTGCCATCATATCCCACAGTATTTGAACTGCATCCTGTCTTACGTTCTATCTGTGTTTTTTGGGAACCTGAAATATGTGGAGATATCTCCATGTTGCAGTTGTTGCTCTGGTTAGCTGTTGAACTATGATGCCTGGCCATGCTCAGGAATTTTGATTTGCTCTGTGAACTTCTTGTCCTCATAGGTGGCTTAACAGCCTCCCTCAGCATCCCCTCAGCCATTTACCTAATTTTCCAGCTCATGCCCAACATCTTTTTCTGCCTCAGACTTGCTTCATTTGTACTATTTTGTTAAAATAATGTTTCTGTTGCTTGTTGGTAGACTATGACAAGTAGAAAACACATTGGCTTTCCTTTTGGCTCTGGATGGCTGTCTCGTGTGGTAGAGGAGACTGTCTACTAAATGACACGACACTGGTCCGGCATTCTCCCAGGCTGTGAACCTTGGTTGACTTCTCACCATGATCTGATAGATGCTACTCCTTGCTTATCTGTTCAGTAAGTTTTCTGTTGTCTGTTGTGCTGTAAGTTTTGTAGTACAGCAACTGCCAGTGAAAGAGCAGTTATGCATCCCAAAGACTTGTGAGAAAAGGAGTTGTGATGACAGGAGAGGCACCATATCATGCCTAGAGGCAAAGACTAGACACAGAGGAAAGGTAAAGAGAGGTATAGAAGGCAAGGAGAAGTCTTCCTCATGACAAAGATCTATTTGACGTGACACGTGTTGACTGCCTTTCTAAAGCATAACTGGCCATCTGATCTCAGGGAGCTCCACTACACCTGGAGGAAAGCAGCTAATTTGAGTAGCAGAAAAAGTGCATTTTGGCCACCTGACTTAAGGGAGACATATGGGCCAATGGAACCTGCTCAGGAACTTGCCCAGGAACTTGCCAAGGAACTTGCCCAGGACTCCACCCCTCATCTCAGCTCTGTAAGCCCTCCAATTTGAGAAGAAGAGTCAGCTTGCTAGCAGCTCCTCTCACTTCTAAAGGTAATGAAAAATCCTTTCAGAGCAGGAAGCTGGAAAGCTCATGTAAATGCAAAGCACAGCTTTATTTATTTTATAACTATTGAAGTCTGAAAGAACTGAGTTTATCCAGCCTTTCCATGGTAATGACATTCATATACAATGCCAGGAGCAGATCTCTGCTCACCTTATCTTATTAAAAATAACTTGTATTGTATCTAGATGACACTCTCTAAATTTCAGGGAGGAAGCACAGAAAGGTGCTTCCTTTCTGTGGTAAGAGGATAAGGACAGGGAAGAACTACAGAATAATTAACAGTCAATGAGTTCTTTTCTCTTTTCCAATAGCCAGCAATTAGCCAAGATTCCCTTCAGAGATCATACTGATCTGAAATTATTCCTCATATAACACAGATGAATCCAAGCTTTCCCTGGAGACATGGCTCTATTTGCTGATTGGCATATTTGTCATAAATGCAACCACATCTCTAGAAACTGTATTGGAAGAATTGCACGCTCAGATAACACTATTATGTAGTTTAGCACTGCACTGCCCATTGCTGCTGGAAGGACTGTATTTACAAGTAAATACCAGAGTCCTTAAGCTCCCCTCTCTAAACAGAGTATCACCAAGGCTATTTTGAACCAAAATATTACTATATGCCTCACATACAGACATAATGGAGCCAAGGCATTT